GTAACCACAATACTTCGCGTTCCGAATTACGCTCGCCGATTTAGGTTCGTAGGAGGTGGAATAATGTTGAAACAATTGTATTAAAAATAAACTTGGTTATATATTTAAAATCAGCTGCTGCGATACATTAAACCAGATGTTTGATGTCGACACCGGTGGTTTTCGGTATACAAACTGTCAGAAGCTTTGTTTAGGTGATGGCTCACCAGATGCTTTGCGCGGTGCGCGGGACATAGACGGTGTTGTTGTTGCGTCGTGAATCCGTCTGTTGATGATCTCAGTTTCTCGACTCTTTAAATTCCGATTGACAATTATCTCTATCAGCTGCTCTTCGATTCAGCGCGGTATAAGCGATATTTCCGCAGAGCTGGGTTCGGTGAGTCGCCTTGGCGGTGATACACGGATACAATGATGCCTCGAGTATCTCGGGTATTGGGTGCGTGCAGTCAGAGGCTTCTGCGGCAATCCGTCTTTGTGCGCGGAACCTTAGTTGGCTTTGTTGCCTTAGTTGTCGAACTAGGCCGACTCGTTCGTGCAAGATCACGGATGATGTAGATACGGTGTCGCGGACGCGCCTATGCATCCCGGTAGCGAAGTGATCTCGATCTTGCTTCCCGGGTGCGGTCTCTAGTACTTCGGAGGCCGACTCGCGTCCTTGCGAATCGACGGCAGACATCATTTCGCGAATTCGTATGACACGATGTCGAAACTGCGCTGCAGCGGAGCGAGGCTTCGACGTTCCGGACGTGATTTCGCACGCTGCGAATCGATAACGGTGTGATTTCGCTCGTGTTAAAGCGAAGGCGAGATCCGATTAGCGTTGTGAAGGTCGCGTTAAGCGCCCCTCCGGTAGATTGATTCCCGACCCTTTGGTGGCCCTGGAATTTTCTGGATTACGGTAGTTACTTCATTGTCGGCGTCACGAATCCGTAAGCCGACGGCGGAGTGACTCCTGTCGCGTATTTGCGAACAGAGATCCCCCAGAGATCGGGGTGCGAGAAGATGGTGTAGTAATTTTTCTCGGTATCGGAGGTTTGGATCTCTCTAACGATATCTCCATGCCGAATCATACTATCACCCAGCTCAAAAACAATCGGTCCTCGATTCGTTAATACACAGAGCATTAGCCACTTGCGACATGGACAGCACCCAAAGCGAATTTAAGGATTTCAAAAATACTTTCCAAATAATGGTTGCACGACAACACAGATAAATAAAACAATCAGGAAACATCAAACCAAAAGACATTAAAACACACGGACTGAACAACTCCAATGACAGACAAATAAACGAAACTTCATCAATACATTCCTTCCATACATAGGGGGAATTACAGACAAATTTGACAGTATCCTGAGAAAACACAATATCAAAACCAAATACAAACCACCAACGGAAATAGGACAGTATCTGAACAATCCAAGAGACAGAAGACCTACACTAGACACTCCTGGAGTATATAGACTTCCCTGCTCCTATGGCAAAGATTCTATTATGGAAACCGGTGTGATGGTGAGCACACCTATAAAGGGACATCAAAGCGCAGACAAATTGAAAAATGTAACGTAACACTAGTGGAACACAATCTGGAAAGCGGACACAAAATACTATTCAACGAAATAACAGTATTGGCCGAAGCCAACAACTTCTTCCCTAGGAAATACAGGGAATCCTTGGAAATTCAAAGCACCCCAATAATATCAATTGGGATAATGGACAAAAAATCAGTCCAATCTGGCAATCTGTTCCTTCGATTTTCATGACAGACAACAAATTTTCCACTACCATTACCCCTTGTTACTTTCCCCATCTTCATGTCTCTTCCTTCCCTCTTTTACTACGCCAACTATATAAATACTACTATATAATGCTACTATATAAATACTACTACAAAATATTATTATATAAAGGAAGACCTTTTAGGAACAACTTGGTATCGGGTCGTTCCTCTCTGAAGAAGCGGACTAAAATGTTCGCAAAATATCGGAATCAAACAAAGATGAATCGCGGTTTAAACCCAGAAACCAAATCAAATACATTTTAATATTCATTTGTTGGAGATGAAATGCAATGTGGGGGATAAATATATATAAAAATATTTATTTCACAAAAATTTTACATCCCACAAATACATTTTCAAGTTTTTTCTCAGTGCATTTGCTAACCAGTTAGAGCTAAATCACTAATTTCTACACATTTGTTAAAGTCAAATAATCTAGATCGTGATCAGTAAGAAGGATGGTTATTCGCACCGATAATCGAAGGATGGAATATTTATATAAAATATCACGGTTTCGGATGACCACGTACTGTGATGTTATAACAATGAAAGGTTATCACGATAACACGAGGAAAGAAAGTCAAGTTTCTTAAAATTACTTGAATAGAATTACTGAATTATTTTTGCAAAAAAAGTAAATTATATAAAACTATCTTCTTCCATAGAGTATATAATTGATTTGTTCGTAATGTCGAACAATAGTATTTGTCGAATTAAAAATTTGTATATTTGGTCTATTTCAATAGACAAACTTCTTTAAATTTATTAAAATTCATTATGTCCAAAGAAATCCTTGCAAGTACCGAAGGAAGATTTAGCACACGCGTCGTCGCATATTCCAACATACAGTATATCACTGATTGATTCTCACAAAATTTAATGGAAGATATAACACACTGAGATCAACATAAATGTCGTATACCGTTTTGCGATATTCGCAAAATGTATGGAAATATTAATTAAAGAAATTGGTGAGTAATCATATCCGAAATGTTAAATGAGTTGTTGTGGTGCCGGCTGCCGTTTTATACTTTATGTTAATTCAAAGTGAACATAAAAGTCCTTTATAATTTTGCATCTGACCACATGGACTTTTAGACAATAATCAAAGAAGATTAGTGCATGATCGCACACACTCATACAGCACAAATCTTCAAAAGACAAATCTTCTAAAGTGGTTCTAGACGGGCAATCCTACATCCTCAGAATATACTAAGACATTCTCTGAAGATTTTGTACTATTATCTGGGCAAATATTTAATGATTTTTTTCATTAATAACTAAAACTTTAGGTAGTTATTTGCAAAATAATAAACTTTTTTGTTCAATTTGATTAAATGTACAAATATATGATAGCTTACATTTTTATAATAACCCATCTGCCCATTGCGTGTAATCATTCCTCAATCTTCCATAATAAATATCTCGAGATTTATTGTAAATATCACAAAGCAGTATGGAACATTCAAGTTCATCTCAAACCGATCTACGTTTCTACGAACGTTGCGGAGACAAATTTTGGAAACCCTGTATATCCTCTTGTCATTTAAAATAATCAACGAAATTTCGGGTAAAATTATTTTAATATTTAACGTACTCTCTATTATATTAGGACAATTAAAATGTTTGTCTCGATTTTCAACAGAATACGTCGAATATATGTAATTTATCGGTAAATTTTATTATATATTGTGACTATGCATATACTATATAATTTTGTAAATATTATAGTGTAAAGATGCGATTCCCATTCATTGTGATTACTCGCTGAATTATCCGCTCCCACAGAGTATAATAAGCATAATAAAACACAATTTGTCTGCACAATTGAAGCAAATCCTTTTTTGTTTAACACATTATACTATATTTTCCATCGTCAATTTGTTTCTCCACCAATTCCCAATCGTGAGTGTGATATACGTGCCAGCCTAGCAGTGATGACAGCACGACGTACAATGTTCGATCGTAAAGGTTTTCCCAAACCAGTTGATATAACAATAACGTAAGGTGTATGGTAAAAATTTACCAATTATAACCGAGTTTTCACAAAATTGGCAACGTTACGATTCGATAATATTCAATGTGATTCATCAATTTTTAAGTGTTACGTTACGGCTACTACAATTTAAGTGTGTTTAACACATCTGATGTTCTCCGAGTCGAAATTTTCGCACAATCTTTGACCTGAACTCCCTAACTTTTATATTTGTTGAGTCTGAAGGATCTAAAGTATCAGCGTACGTTTCTTTCATGAGAATCTGTTTACACATTTTGAATTTACATAAAGTATTATAAAGTATGTTAACAATATTATCTCTAAACTTAAAATTTATTTGAATTTATTGATCTAGTTAATTTTTAGATTATTTAAATACTGCGATATCTTTTTTAAGTAAAACGCAAATATACTTTTGAGTTTACTTTTGACAAGACTTAAAATACACTTTAATTATTTAACTGTCAATACTTAAAATACACTTTAATTATTTAACTATCAGTTATATAAAAACAGTTTTATATAATTATATATAACTGTATAAAATTAGATAGAAGTGTATAAAATTATGTTTAGTTCGTTATATGATTATATATAATTTTACACGACATTTTATATACGCACAATTTTGTACATGGCTGCTTGATTCTTCTTATATATAATTATATACTTCATCATATATCATATGTATACATATCATATATTTATTCATATATAATTATATAATTCTCCATTATATATGACAATGTGGTACGCTTATAATGAAAACATACTTTAAAAGACACAAAATAAATCACAAAGTTTATCAACATAATTTAGTAAATTTGAGGTAATTTTGGACAAAACTTTAAGTATATCAGTGTTATGCTATAAAAGGCACTTGAAGGGAAATAATCCGTTCAAAAGAAAACGTCTTTTAGTCTGAAGCAATATCCATCTATGTATTGACTATACCAAGCATCTCTTAAATTTGAGGATTGAACGGCACGCGCTAATCATAACATCTTCAACGGTGTTCTTAGGACTTACATAATGTAATGTTGTAGCAGTCACAGAATATTACAATATATTTATTAGCAAATATTGAAATATATTTATCAGTAAAATATAATTCTTTATTTTTTATAATTATATAAATCTATATAAATCATACATACATGAAAATATACAATATATATCATTTAATATTCTTTGTTTAACTTTGGTTTGCATTTTATTTTGTGTGTTTAAAATATTATATTTTTATGTAAGTTATCATTTCATTAAATAAGAGCTCTGTTATTTTGTTGAAAAGAATCAATTAGATTAGATTCAGATTTTAAACAAATAATATTATGAGTAATCTAAACAGAAAAAATTTAGAGCAAATTACTCAATACTCAAAAACTTAAAAAGGTTTTAGCTTAATCTTTCGTTGAACATCTAAAAGCAGTGATGCAATTACTAGCTCAATAATATATATTATCCATATATTTGTCGGATAATTAATGTTTTTCCGTCCTTTCAATGTTTGCTCATAAATATATAATATTCCGAATAGTATAAAAATATATGTTATGAAAGTCCTAAGAACATCCTTAGAACTATTACAATAACAGTGTACTGCACGATCTCAAAAATTTAAGGAATACGAGTCAGCATAGTTCAAATAAGGATGGGTGATTGATTTGGATCAAGGAACATTTTTTTAAAAGGTTAGTCAAATTAGAGTAACCTTTCTAATACATTACCGAAATATTTAAAGTTTTGTTAAAAATTACAACAACTTTACTAAATTAACTGTCTCGATAAACTTTGTATTTTATTTTGAGTATTTTAAAGTAGATATTCATAAGTATATTCATAAGTATTCATAAGTAATATGTCACGTTTGCATATTGTTTCTCTCCACTAACGAATATTTCTAGTTCGTCATCTCGATAGTTACACTTTGTCTTGTCAACATCTTTTTCGATACGTATAAACATAACATAACATTGTTATTAATGTTCTGTATACTGTTGCCGGTTAAACACCTATATGTAACTCGTATACATATTTCTGTTACATTCCGTGAGTTGTCGAGCTTCGCGGATTATTTTGAAGTAAATATTACAAACGAACTACTCATAAACGATAATTAATAAGCCGCATCGCGATGAATTTCCCGTTAATATTAACTTTTCGTGGTTCATACAAAGGAGACAAATATAATCAGTTTTTCAATCCAAACGTTTGTCATGTTTGCAAACTGCACAGCGAAGACTTGATAACGTGTAATCGGTGCAACATGATTTCTTACTGTTCCGAGGAGCATGAGGAGATACATAGAAATTCACACTCTGAGATCTGCAAAGCTATAGGAAGGGTAATAACAGACAAATCATTCTGGGATACATATCCTAGCTTGGAAAAATGGATAGAATCACGTAAACAAATTTTACATCAAACACGCTCTATTCTGTCACGTGGCATACAACGATACGAAATGGAGATGATATTGTGCGCAAAAACGTGTAGTGTGTGTTTCCGACAGGCAAACATAAGGCACTGCAACACTTGCCATTCAGCCAATTTTTGTCATGATGACCAAATGTTATTTGAAGTGTTGCATAAGAAGTGCTGCTATGAGTTGTTGCTATTACTGAAGATGAATATCGCCCGTATAAACGGCTATATGGAAGAGACTTTATTTCGAGACAAATATAAGTTCAGCACATTTCCTGATGCGAAACCTTATAATGATACTTTTACACTTATTAACAACTATGTACCCAGTAATATTCCTGCTCATAGCTTAAGATTAGAAACTTCTATCCCAGTATTCTCCTGGTCCTTAGATCAATGTATATATTCAGATTATGTATCCGGCCCACTGACGTTATACAATGCGTTGCAGGAATCAAATTTAATATCTCTTTCAAAGAAGAAATTTAAATATATCATTCATGTTATAGATGTAAACAAAACAGATATAACATATTTGAAAACGTGGCATATTTTCTTACATTTATATAGAAAAATAAGGGAACTGTATATTGTGTTTATAAATTCGTTAAATTTTGAATCGAGCGATTTAGGCTTTGTGTGTAGTTCGTGCAAAAATCATAAACAGAAACTTTATATTAGAAGCGTATTAGAACCGTATCACGATTTTGTACGCTTAGATTCATATGAAAAACCGAATGTAATCGTACTGTTTGAAATAGAATGGCTTTTCATAGAAATATGGTCTAAATCTTTAGAAGCAATGATAGCACAAGAGTGTCCGTTATTTTTAACCACTGTTTCGGAAAATACAGTGCAGGAATGTATAAACAAGATACAAGAACAAACGGGTACAACCAGAAATCGATTAGTCAAAGAAAATAAATTCCGCGGTTATATGCCACATAGAAATTATATGACTGGTGGATTTTATTACCGAAATGCGCATTTCATTATATATTCATAAATTTAAATCACATGATCGACCCAGTCAACGGCTGAATGTTATGTATTCTTTGATCTTATTTTTATTTTGGTATAGTTAATGATACTCAATTTTTAATAATATTCGAGAATAAATTGGAAATTTTTTACTGAGGCATATATTTAGTCATAAATTAATAGTATTTTTGTTAAAATATATTTTCTCATTTATCAGTATATAATTTATTAGTATATAGTATATTAGTATATAGTTTTTCATTTTTTAAAAATATGTAAAATATATTGTATATGAAGTAATAGAATACTAGCCATATATATATATATATATATATATATATATATATATATATATATATATATATATATATAT